TCTTATGGGAACCTCCCTTCACGGGCCCCCTTTGAAATTTGCTCACCTCGTTGCTCTGCAGTGTTCCCTGGACCACCAAGGTGTTTCCCCTTCTTGGGCCCCCATGGTGACCTGTGGTCTAAGGCCACAAGGTGGGACACAGCAGCCCCGGGGCCCATCCATTCCTGGCCCTGCGAGACGGGCTGGTGAGTTCTCAGCACGACGGGCACTCACACACGGTTCTCACATGAACTGACAGTCCACAGCCTGACCAGGATTTCCACTTGTGCCTCCAGCTGTGTGTGCGCCTGGCAGGCGGGCGGGAGGGGACCAGCTCCTCTGTTCCGGTGGTGTCTTTCGTCTTGTTTCCAAGTTCTCCTTCCTGAAGCACAGTGGTCCGTGAGACAGGTGTCTGGGCAATGTATTCCGGGCTCGAACACACCGGGCCCATTTCACAGAGGACGTAACAGTCACAGAAAGGGCCAGAGCTGTCCTAGCAGCCAGGTGACCTTCCGGAGACACCCCTTCCCCCAAAAGACACGTCCTCCCGGGGAACCCGTGAATGCTGGTGGCCTTATTTGGAAAAGGGGTCTTTGCAGATGTGACTGAGGTTCAGATTTTGAAATGAGGTCCTTCTGGAACAGGGTGGACCCGTCACGAAGTCCAGTGACGCATTTCCTCAGATAGCAAAGGAGAGAGCTCTGCACACAGCCAGGGTTCGTTCTCGGCCCGGCAGCCCTGCCCTTGTCCCTGCCCCGGCTGCAGCTGGCTGTACGCTCAAGACAGTCCAGGACAAACCTGTGTTCTTCCCCAGGCCTGTCCTGTGAGCCCTGGAGGGAAGGCAGTCTGTTCCGAGCTCCCCACACCCCAAGAAGCGGGGCCCTGGTGGCTCTGGGCCTTCCTTGGTGCCGCAGCCAGGATGCAAACTGAGGTCCCCTGGCTTCGTACTGCCTCGACACTCATGTCATGAGGTCTCAGGGAACCTTCTTAAAGACAACTGGGACTGCTTGACCCCTCCCTCCTGACCTCCTGTAGCGTCTGAGGGGCCCTCCTGGGCGGTGGTCAGAGCTGCCGGTCCCCTCTCAGGTGGGCACAGCACAGGGCCTCCAGTGGGGCCACGTTCCTCTGGTTGTGGTTGGAACCCTGCACCCTCCATGTGGCTCAGCAGGTACATACCATTTGTCACAGTGAAAAGCCTTCACTCCAGCATTTTTTTTGCTATGTATTTTGCTCCAGGAACATTCTGGAACTGGTAGCATGACCTCTGTTCTGTGCTCTCTAACCCAGCGTTCCTTTCTTTGGCCCCTGCCAGGTGATGTGTCCAATCTAGATCCCAAGTTCTCATTTGAAGGCACCAAATTGGATGTGGGGAACATCGTGCTGGCATTATACAGCGGCCTCTTTGCCTACGGAGGATGGTAGGGTCTGGAATGTCTGGGTCCCTTAGTCTGGGGACACACATTCCCTGACGTGTCCAGGAATCCCAAACCTCCCAGCCATCAAGGGGCAGTTAAAGGGAGTGGACAGTATAGAGTGGCAGGTGACCCTTCAGAATCACCCACACCCCAGTGAAGCGTGGGGAGGCCGCCCGCTGCAGCCCTACTCTGGCTCCAGCTCTGTGTCTCCGTCTTGGCGGGCGAAGGTGGCAGGTGGAGGCAGCTGAGCCCTGCGGCCCCTCCGGGTCCCCGGCCTGGCTCCTGCGCTCAGGCAGGCCTCACAGGGACCTGAGAATCACCCCGGTAGGGCGAGCGGGCAGGAAATGTGGAGTAGGGCCTGGAAGGGGTAGAGGGACCCCGGGAGCAGACAGGAGGCTGAACTTCCACTCCGGGTCTGCTTTGCAGCCCGGCGAGCAGACCACTGGGGTTGGGGGGTCGGGTGCTCTCTGCCAGGTGATTTCTTTTCCCTGATGAGGATCAGATCATTTGAAAGCTGTTCTCTAAATTTTAGGAATTACTTGAATTTTGTCACAGAAGAAATGATCAACCCCTACAGGTACGTGCACGAAGGGACGGAGGCGTCGTTTTTCATTATTGTACTGTGAGGCAGGAGGCGGCCACGTGCCACCTGAAGCCTGTTGGTTGGCTCAGGCCAGCTCACAGTAGGGCCACGATTGGGGCCTCTGGGGCCAGCAGGATGTGGAGCGGGTGGCTTCTGGCCATGTGGCCCTGAGAACGGTTTCTCCAGAGAACGGGTGGCAAGTGAGGCCCCCACTCAGGGCGGGATGGTACAGAGGAGCTGCTTGGGCTCTCGTCTCTGGTCCCCGGCTGTGTAGCTCGTGGGCAGAGCCTTAGGATTCAGACCGGGGCGGCCTGACTTAGCTCGCCTGAGCCCTTGAGGTCACCCAGAAGAATCCTCATTTCTCAGGTGGGGAAGCTGAGGCCATGGCCAAGGCACCAGCCAGGTCTGTGCAGTGTCCCGCTCCAGGCAGTCTCCTGCCGCCAGCCTGTGCTCTCTTACTGCTTCCCACCTTCCCCGAGAAGCTGGGCACAGAGGCTGGAGCTGCTGCTGGCGAGGAGCCCACCTGGCTCGTGGGCACAGGGTTTGACTTTCAGCCTGGGCGCGTTGAGTGACATGTCGTCCCTGTTCCTTCCAGAAACCTGCCCCTGGCCATCATCATCTCCCTGCCCATCGTGACGCTGGTGTACGTGCTGACCAACCTGGCCTACTTCACCACCCTGTCCACCGAGCAGATGCTGGCTTCCGAGGCCGTGGCCGTGGTGAGTCGCTACCCGCCAGCTTCCACCAGGGGTCTGAGGCTGTGACCAGCGCATCCCCTCCAGACTGGAGAGGTGCCCCAGTCTCTAAGCCTCCCCTACCCGGAGGAGTGGAGTGGTGGTCTCCCCTCACAACAGCCTCAGAGGAAGTGTCTGGGGATCGTCCTCGACCTTGGCTGCTGGGGAGAGTCACAGGGGAGAGGGGTTTAAAATCTGATGCCAGGCCACACCCAGAACCAGCTGTAAGCCAGAAGGCCTAGGGAGTCCAAGGCAGCGGTCGTTTTAAATCTGAGTGCAGAAAGATTGGAGTCTGCCACAGACTAGGGTTCTTTAGAAGGCATGGCTGCTGCTGGCTTGGCAGGCGGGAGGCCAAGCCCGGGCAGTGTCACTGAGCAGCTCAGCCAGGCTGGCCCCATAGCTTCCAAGGCTCCTCCCATTGCCCTCCCAGGGCCGGGGAAACAGGGAGTGGGCGCTCTGGCCAGCTTCCTACTGAACAAGCTCTGACTCCCAGCCCACGGCCTGCAGGGCACCGTGCTGGGCCTGCAGAGGACCCCAGATAGGGAAGGCAAGATCCCCACCTGGAGGCCGTAGCTTGCTCCAGAGGAGTCCAGAGGAGTCCAGAGGAAGGGGCAAATCAGGACCAGCAAGTGCTCCCCCACAAGCAGGCTGGGCAGGGGCCGCTGGAAATCCCTGTCCTGGGAAGTCCCCCCAGAGGCCAGAATCCAGCCCAAGAGGTCCTCTGCAGAGGGCTCTTGTGAGCTCACAGGGCTCCTGGTGAGCGCGAGGAGGGCGAGAGCCAGCCGTTGGGGCCCAGCTCACTGGTTGTGCCTGCCTAGGACTTCGGGAACTATCACCTGGGCGTCATGTCCTGGATCATCCCCGTCTTCGTGGGCTTGTCCTGCTTCGGCTCCGTCAATGGGTCCCTGTTCACATCTTCCAGGTGAGCGCAGCCCTACCCACAGCAGGTGAGGGAGGCCCAGGCCTCATGGCCCGGTTCAACACGTTCCATGTCTGTAAAGGGTTTGTCTCTGTGATACTGGGGATACACAGTTGCTCCAATAGGCCAGGCACGGTGGCTCATGCCTGTCATCACAGCACTTTAGGAGGCCGAGGTGGGCAGATCGCTTGAGCTCAGGAGTTCGAGACTGGCCTGAGCAACATGGCAAAACCCTGTCTCTACAAAAATATACAAAAATCAGCCAGGCGTGGTGGCATGTGCCACCGTAGCCCCAGCTACTTGGGGTGCTGAGGTGGAAGGATTGCTTGTGACCAGAAGGTTGAGACTGTAGTGAGCTGAGATGGTGCCACTGCACTCCAGCCTGGGTGACAAAGTGAGACCATCTCAAAAAAAAAAAAAAGCAGCAAGCTCAAATAATACAGAAATAAAGGAAGCGTGAACTTTGGCCCTCGCCTCCCTGTTCCTGCCTGGAAGTGACACAGCCGTGGTGTCCTAGATGCCCCATGATTGCCGCTCAGCCCCCGGGGCTGGAGTGAGCAGTGGCTCCCAAGTTTCTGTCCTTGCCAGCTGAGTTGGTTGGGGACACTGAGAGGCCCACAGCCAGCAGCTGGAGGGTCCCGGTTCCCACTCTGGCCAGAGAGGCCCAGACAAGCCAGGCACGGACCCTGTCCACTCCCCAGCCTGCCATGTCCCTGTCCCTGTGCTGAGTTGTGAGGCAGTGGCTGATGCCACTCTGTTCTGTCCTCAGGCTCTTCTTCGTGGGTTCCCGGGAAGGCCACCTGCCCTCCATCCTCTCCATGATCCACCCACGGCTCCTCACCCCTGTGCCGTCCCTCGTGTTCACGGTAAGCCTGCTGCACAGCCCCGTGCCCTACGTCCCTGGGGGTTGTCCAGGAGCTTCCCAGAGGGAGGCTGCCACAGCTTGCAGCTTTGTCTGGGGTGTGGACTGGGTGGCAGCTCAAACATGGCCTCCTGCCGAGCTCCACTGCATGCCAGAGAGTGCTGGAGGGCCTTAAGATTTTATTCCAAAAACAATATATGGTGACTGCTGCAAGCAATTCAGTCCATCGGGAATGCGGGAAGCAGAAGCTCCACCCAGGTTGCTGCTCTGCTGGCTGCCTGGCTCACTGCACCTCTGCCTCCGCAGGCACCTGCCCCGTGTTCGTTTCTCAGCGGCGTGCATCACACGCAGTTTCCTTCCACTTCTCCTGCATCTTTCCATGCCAGCGCCTTTGATTGCCCTCGTTCCCTCTTGCTGTGTCACTCATCACTCCAAAACGTAGCGATCTAAAAGGAAAAGCACTTGTTATCCCACAGTTTCCGTGAGTCCAGGATTCAGGGAGCTGATGCCTGGAGCTGTGGTCTCATCCGAGGGTGTGACCAGGGCTGGAGAGGCCACTCCCATGGTGGCTTCCTGCATGACTATGGGCTGCAGGCCCCGCCCCTCAGCACACTGGCCTCCCTACAGGCTGCTTCCGTCAAAACCAGTGAGAGACAGCAGAGGAAGCTGTGGTCTGGCCTCAGAGATCCTGGCCCTTGCTTACTAATCCTTCCCTGTGTTAGAAGCGAGTCAGGAAGGGCAGTGAGTCCTGGACTCTTTGGCAGCTGCACGGTCCTCGGGAGCACAGCTGTGCTGGGGGTTACAGAAACAGTTTTCTTGGTGACCACTGAGTTAGGTCAGGTTGTGGCCCTCACACACAAAGCCACAGTCCAGCAGAGCCCAGCTGCATGTGTACACTGTGCTCTTCACCTGTCCGTAACCCAAATGTGGTTTCCATTTCCTTCTCCCTTCCCTCCTCCCTCCTTCCCTCCTCTCCCTCCTTCCCTCCTCCTCTCCTCCTTCCTTCTCTCCTTGCCTCCTTTCCTCCTCTAAGACCTTGCATGTTGCTCAGATGAGGTTTCTCCTTTAAAACAAAATTCCCTGGTGCTCAGCTGGGCCCAGCCAGGATAGACGGTCCCCAGTGGCTACCACGGCCCTCCCCAGCCCTAGTTGTGGGCTCCAGGGCTCAGCCAGCCGCCTCTCTCTTCCAGTGCGTGATGACGCTGCTCTATGCCTTCTCCAAGGACATCTTCTCCGTCATCAACTTCTTCAGCTTCTTCAACTGGCTCTGCGTGGCCCTGGCCATCATCGGCATGATCTGGCTGCGCTATAGAAAGCCCGGGCTGGAGCGGCCCATCAAGGTGAGCCCAGAGCCTCCGGCTCCCCCAGGCAGCCTTCACAGAGGCAGGGTCCATGGGTCCTAAGGACCCTGAGTCGGGAGCCAGCATCCCAGCTCAGCCTCTGGACCTGCCCCTGCCTGCATGCACCTGGGCAGGGCCACGTCCACATCAAGCCCGAGTCTCCCCTTGGCAAACCAGGGCTCATGCCGCAGGGGGTCCCAGTGGGAGGGGTGCAAGGCCGTGTGTGCCCGTGCTTTTGCAGCAGACACGGGGTCAGCTAATTCCGGTGATGACTGTTGACCCAGCTACAAGAGTGCCCAGTGTGATTGCAGGAGCTGGGGTTCCTCAAAGGACAACAGATGGCACAGAGCTTGTGCACCTTTGAATGAAGGGAAGCAGATAAGGACATTGCAGTCGTAGGTGGGCGGTGGTGAGCCCCTGATGAGGGATGGAAGGAGCCAGCTTCATCTCCCGAGGCCTCCGACGGGCAGGGAAGGTCACAGCTCCATTCCCACATCACAGGCCTGGAAACCCTGAGCCGCCAGGACACGCAGGGGCCTGATGCTTCCAGGAGACAGTGGCCACCCACTAAGAAGCCAGGAGACCACCCTCTTGGAGACCCTGTTGTGGACACCGCTGAGCAAAAGCCCATCCCTGAAGCTGTGGCCTAAACTGTCACCTTCAGCAGACAAGCTCCACCCGGCACAGAAGCCAGGCAGGGCTGTGAGGAGCCTGCAGGCCCAGCCCGTGACCCACGGTTTGGCACGGCTGTGGGATTGACTCGGCTGTCCTGAATCCATCCAATTGGACAGGGCACCCTGGGAGACGCAGGGCTGACCACGTGTCCTAGCCCATCAGTGCAGGCCGCATGGATTCAGGACAGCCGAGTCAATCCCACAGCCGTGCCAAACCGCGGGTCACGGGCTGGGCCTGCAGGCTCCTCACAGCCCTGCCTGGCTTCTGTGCCGGGTGGAGCTTGTCTGCTGAAGGTGACAGTTTAGGCCACAGCTTCAGGGATGGGCTTTTGCTCAGCGGTGTCCACAACAGGGTCTCCAAGAGGGTGGTCTCCTGGCTTCTTAGTGGGTGGCCACTGTCTCCTGGAAGCATCAGGCCCCTGCGTGTCCTGGCGGCTCAGGGTTTCCAGGCCTGTGATGTGGGAATGGAGCTGTGACCTTCCCTGCCCGTCGGAGGCCTCGGGAGATGAAGCTGGCTCCTTCCATCCCTCATCAGCAGCCGCCTGAGCCCCTGGCAATGTGCCCAGCCCTGTGTGCAGAGTCTAGAGCGGGACAGGCCGGTGCGTGAGCCAGATCCAGGCCCAGCACTGTGTGCAGAGTCTAGGGCGGGACAGGCCGGTGCGTGAGGCAGATCCAGGCCCAGCACTGTGTGCAGAGGCTAGAGTGGGACAGGTCGGTAGGTGAGCCAGATGGGGTGCAGCTCACATCCTGGTGACCTGGAAGTCAGCGGCTGTGGGTGTGGAGGGCCCAGGAGGGCTGAGGAACCTCAGGGCATGGGGGAGGGAGGCTCATCCAGGCCCTGTCCTCTGCTCCAGGTGAACTTGGCCCTGCCCGTGTTCTTCATCCTGGCCTGCCTCTTCCTGATCGCCGTCTCCTTCTGGAAGACGCCTGTGGAGTGTGGCATCGGCTTCACCATCATCCTCAGCGGGCTGCCCGTCTACTTCTTCGGGGTCTGGTGGAAAAACAAGCCCCAGTGGCTCCTCCAGGGCATCTGTGAGTATCTCACTGGCACGCAGCCCACAGTACCCTCTGCCCTGGGCAGCGAAGGGAGTTGAGAGGCGTCGGCCATCTCCACCCACACGGAGCCAGGCATGTTGGGTGGCAGCAGGGTTCAGGTCCCTGCAGTGTCTGCCAGTGACACGCAGCCCACATGTTTCGGGGATAAGACGCTCAGCGCAGCACCAGCTCACCTCTCAGGACGAGGGATTCCAGAACACCAGGCTACTGCTGCCAAGTGACAAAATCTTGCTGGCTGCCACCAGCTGACACAGCGGACTTACCGAGAAAGGCAGAAAGAGGCAGAGGCAGGTGGATCAATTGAGGTCAGGAGTTCAAGACCAGCCTGGCCAACATGGTGAAACTCTGTCTCTACTAAAAATACACAAATTAGCTGGGCGTGGTGGCACACACCTGTAATCCCAGCTACTCAGGAGGCTAAGGCAGGAGAATCACTTGAACCCGGGAGACAGAGGTTGCAGTGAGCTGAGATCTCACCATTGTACTCCAGTCTGGGTGACAGAGCAAGACTCTGTCTCAGAAAAAAAAAAAGCAGAGGGAGAAACCCTCCTCTCTGACCAGAGACCCGGGGGTGCAGCAGTGACCCAGGGGTGCTTTACCACCAAGCTCAGGACCCCGTCCTCCGCGCCTGTAAATGTGGCCAGGCTCCTAGAAAAACGCCGGGGTGCCTGCGGCCCTAGACGCTGATCCCCATGTTACTGGGTGGCTTTGAAAATTCCTGGAATGGCAGCAACACAGGCAGGGAGACCCCCCACCCCAACCCACACTGATCACCGCCAGGGTCATGGTAGAACATTTGCCTCAAGCTTTGCAGTGGGATCTGCATTAACTGTCATTCAGGACACCAAGAGCTTAAAGCAAAACCCCGTCTATCCTGAAACCAGTCTCCCTCCCCGGAGCCATGTCTCTGCGGAAGTCCCAGGCGTGACAGGTCTTCCGAGAACCCTTAGCAGATTGGCCCCTCCAGCCCTGCCCGCAGGACAGCCTGGCTGCTGTGAACAGTCCGGGTGTGTGTCCAGGTGCTGGCCCGGGTGTGGACCTGCAGGAAGGCCTGTCATTCCCCCGTTGCACTTTGCCGAGACTCCAGGGCCTGGTTTGTGTGCTCCACGGGCTGCACTCTGCCTCCCCAGGGTTCTGAAGCAGGCAAGGGGTGGGCCAAGTGGGATGCGGTACTTCTGCATTTCAGCAGGAGACAGCGCCTCGGGCACCCGATATCCACCTGCGCAAGTACACAAGGGAGGGTTCCTTAAAATCCCAGCTCTGGCTTCTCTGCAACTTTGGGAGGGGCGGCAGTGCTGGGTTAGGTGACAGCAGGGCTAGGGGAGCCCCAGCTCATGCCCCCATGTCCCGCTGGTGCTTGTCCAGCCCCCAGGTTAACACAGCTGTCTTCTCTCCTGACAGTCTCCACGACCGTCCTGTGTCAGAAGCTCATGCAGGTGGTTCCTCAGGAGACATAGCCAGGAGGCCAAGAGGCTGCCAGAGGAGCATGCACAGAGGCCAGTTAACGCAGCTCACCCCCTCGAACCCACTCCGGTTCCCCACAGTCCACAGCTCAGCTGCGCATCCCAGTCCCTCGCTGTCCCTCCCAGGTCGGGCGGCGGAGCTGCTGTGAAAACTCTGGTACGAATCTCGTCCCTCAGCTGAGGTCGAGTCCGGGACCCAGGTGTGCCTGTGCTCCTGGCCCAGGAGCAGCGTTTGGTCTCGTCGGGCCCCTTTTCTCTTCCCTCCTTTGTTTACTTGTTTTGTTGTTTTTTTTTTAACTTAAATTTTGGGTCAACTTGACACCACTAGGATGATGATTTTTTAAGGAGCTGGGGAGGGCAGGAGCCTTCCTTTCTCCTGCACACTATGTGCCCCAAGGGACCAGACCCTGGGCGAACAGAGCTACTGAGACTTGAAACCTCATCGCTACCATAGACTTGCACTGAAAGCCGGACAGCTGCCCAGACTCATGTGCTTGTGACATTCATGAAAACCAACCCTGTGGGCTTATGTCTCTGCCTTAGGGTTTGCAGAGTGGAAACTCAGCCGTAGGGTGGCACTGGGATGGGGGTGGGGGATCCAGGCGAGGTGGAGGGTCCGAGGTGGGTGATTCCAGAGCTCCTCCCAGGAGGTACCTGAGGCCCTGTTGGACTCCAGACCATATATCCTAGCCCCGAGACACCATCCCAAGCCAGGGAACAGCCCCAGGGTGCGGGGGGTGCCGGCATCTCCCCTAGCTCACCAGGCCTGGCCTCTGGGCAGTGCGACCTCCTGGCTCTTTCTGTGTCCAGTTTTGGAGGCTGAGTTCTGGTTCATGCAGACAAAGCCCTGCCCTTCAGTCTTCTAGACGCAGGCAAGAAAAGCAGACACACCGTGGCCAGGTACCCAAGTGGGAACCCGCTCTGGGCTCCACACAGCAGTGTCCCCTGTCCTGGAGGTCACAGCTGCCCTCAGGCTCCAAAGCTTTGGCCTCTGTGCTGCCCAAATAAATCCCTGCCCAGCAGCCCCTTCTGGCCAGGGCTGGGTTCCGGCTCCCGGCCAAAGCACCTCCCCACTCTCCCTGTCACCCTCACGTCTTGTCCTGGTCCCCCTGATGCCCGTTGTCTAGGAGACAGAGCCAAGCACTGCTCACCTCTCTGCCGCCTGCGTTTGGAGGTCCCTGGGCTCTCACCCAGTCCTCACCCTCCTGCAGAGAGGGAGATAGCAGCTCCCACCGTTTCTGTTGTTCCTGTGAATTTTTTTCCCTATGGGAGGCAGCCGAGGCCCAGCCAGTGTGGTCCACTTTCCTGAGCTGTTGCTGCCTCTGTGGCAGCAGCCAGGGGCCCGCAGAACAAGAAGACCCCACCGGGCCTCTCCTGAGGTCTGGGGGGCTCTGTCTTCTCTTCTCCCCAGCTAGAGGTGGAGCCACGTGGTCCAGAATCACTCCAGTGCTCCGCTGTGGCTGGAGGAGCTGGCCTGTGGCACAGCCCTGAGTACCCCAAGCCGGGAGCCACCGGAGCGGTGCTGGACATGGCTTCACTGACCAGCGGCTGCTCAAGCCGCAAGCTCTGAGCAGGTGCTCAGTGGAGCCTGCCGCCCCCTGCCTGGGCCCCAGGACCCCCTCATCATCCAGTGGGCCTGCAGAAACCTGATAGACAGTTTAGGGACCCGGGGCCAGATGTCCATCTCTCTTGCTTGAGGAATGAAGACTTTTATTCCAGAGCCCAGGGGCCCATCCAGCCCTGGCACCCCCGCCCCGTTGCTTCCTGCTGCACATGGACCGACTTCCACAGCGTCTGCTCATGGGTACTGCATCCTTCCTGGGGCCGAATCCCACTCGTCCAAGGGACAGCCCACAGTCCGGACGCCGAGGACCACCAGTGGGCAGATGGACTGACTGTTGGGCAAGACCTCTTCCCTCCAGGCCCGTTCTCTGGGCGGCAGATAAGGACAGTAGCTGGTGCCCTACCTGCCTGGCGCGTTGCTGTAGGCGGCCACAGCCCCGGGTCTGGGAGAGGTGCTGCCTGGACGCATGTGTCCCACTGGAGCTGGCGGGGCCCATGCACGACGTCGGCCTCTTCCCTTCCCGCCTCGGGTAGGGGTCCTCGGGATGCCGTTCTGTTCCAGCCTCCTGCTCTGGGAGGTGGGCATGCCTCAAGGATGCGGGGAGCCAGCGGACTCTCGATGACACGTGCTTGCCTGTTGGCTGCTGCGGCTGTGGGCGAGCATGGGGGCTGTTCTGTGTCTGTTGTGGGAAGTAGCTGCTGAGTGAAATGGCGGGGGCCGCTGGGGTCCATCTTCACACTGCATAGGTCTCTTCCAGGCATCTGGGCTGGGGTGGGAGCTCCTCCGCAGAAGGTCGATGGGGGGTCCAGTCTGTGATCCTTGGTGCTGTGTGCCCCACCCCAGCCTGGGGACCCCACTTCAGAAGGTAGGGGCCATGTCCCGAGGTGCTGACTGAGGCCTGCTTCACCCTCCCCTTCCTGCTGTGTTGGAGTACCACAGGGGACCAGGGCCACCACAGGGGACCGTCTCAGAAGACTCTGCTTTTCCGTCCCTTTTTCTCCACACTCCACTGACAAACGTCCCCGAAGGTTTCCACTTGTGGGTTTCAGGTGTTTTCAAGCACACCCCACCAAAACAAACAAGTGTTTTTTCAGTCGTTTTGCTTTTTTGTTTTGTGCTAACGTCTTACTAATTTAAAGATGCTGTCGGCACCGTGTTTATTTATTTCCAGTGGTCGTGCTCAGCCTTGCTGCTCTGCGTGGCGCAGGTGCCACGCCTGCTCCTCGTCTGTGTCCCGACCACGCAGGGCCATCCACTGTGACGTCGGCTGACCAGGCCGGACACCCTCTGCCAAGTAATGACGTGTGTGCCTGGGACCGTTTCTATTCCGTGTTAATGGCTAACCTGTTACACTGGGCTGGGGTGGGTAGGGTGTTCTGGCTTTTTTGTGGGGTTTTTATTTTTAAAGAAACATCAATCATCCTACCGCTGATGTCCTGTGTTCTTTTCTTCTGCGCCGGGCTCTGTGTGCGGGAATGTTCCTGGCCCCCTCTCGGCCACCCCATTCCTTCCCACCTCCACATATTCATTCATTCATTCATTCACCGACAGCCCACTGAGGCCGCTGGGTGGGGGTGAGCCATGGACCGGTAGGTAGCATAGGCATCACATGTGAGCACGCACCCCTCGAGGATGTGGGGGCTGAGCCGGGATCTCGGATCTGCCTCGGGAGTAGGGGGCAGGCAGCCTGCACAGGGACATTCAGGTGGAGACCACCATGGAGGAGGGGGAAGGTTCCAGTCCCAGGGAGCTGCAGGGGTGAAGTTGGGAAGGGCTTGGAAGTCACCCGCTGGGAGGATGCAGGGCTCCAGATCCTGGGAGGTCAGGAAGGAAGCTTTTCTCTAGGCTGGGATCAGAGCAAGAGAGGAAGCAGCACTGATTCTGTGTTCCCAGAACACTCCCGAGCCTCTCAGTTAAGAGGGCAAGTCCGGGGCTCAGAGCATGAACCCCTCATCTACCTCCCAGCACCGGGTGGGAGGGCAACCGTGGGGCTCCATCCTGGATCCAGTGGAGGTGCCTGTCTGCAGGACCCATGCAGTCTTGTCCCAGCTGAACGGGAGGTGGGGGACAGGGATTGGGGTCACAGGCCCTGAGTGGGTCCCATAGTCTGAGTCTTATCCTGGAGCCACCGAGTCCCACAAGGAACCAGGAAGGCTCCAGGTGCCAGAAATATGAAGTCACTGGAGTGAGCAGTCAGCTCCATGGGGTGTTAGCAAAGAGGCCTCCTGGCTGCAGGTCTCCTGGAACTGGGGGTTGGGCAGCTTTTCCCTAGTGCGCTGGGCACCCTCCTCCCCGCGGCCCTTTCATTAGGGAGACCTTGCCCAGTGGTGGACCAGGGCATTCTGGGGTGCTGGGAACCTTTGCGGCAACTGGGGTCACGTGGAGCCCTGGCCCAGGATCTGTGTGAGCCCCCCACTGTGACCACCCAGGCAGTAAGGGCCTAGCCACCTCCCGTGGGCTCTGGGAGAATTCGGGTGCATTATAATAATGCTTCTGCTGCTGGGAAGATGAGGCCCAGGCCTCTCTGCTATTCAAAGGCAAATTAATCCTATAGCTCACCCCTCACGATTGAGAACTGGCCGCCCTCTAAGGGAGCTGGAATTTGGAAAGCAATTTTTGGAGCTGGGGACCTTGGATGGACCTGGGGCAGGTGCATACCCCTTTGGGAACTTGACCATTGCGATGGGCTTGTCGAGGGACAGGAAGGAGAAGAGAACTCAAACTCGGGCTGCCCCAGCCCCTGACACTGGCCACGTGAGGTCACCAGTGAAGCAGGCCTCCACACACCTGCACCAGCGTCTGGGGACTCCCTGGGAGCCTGTTGAGTGATATCCGAGGGTGGGGCTGGGAGCTTAAAAAAACAAAAAGCCTTCGCCTAGCCCTGAAGCTCCTTGTAGACCCTGCGGTGGGAGCAGAGTTCCCCCATCGCGATAGTCCTCGGTGCTGCAATAACCTTTTTTTTTTTTGAGACGGAGTCTCACCCTGTCACCCAGGATGGAGTGCAGTGGTGTGATCTCAGCTCACTGCAACCTCCATCTCCCAGATTCAAGCAATTCTCCTGCCTCAGCCTCTCGAGTAGCTGGGATTACAAGCGTGTGCCACCACGCCCGGCTAAATTTTTGTATTTTTAGTGGAGATGGGGTTTCACTATGTTGGCCAGGCTGGCCTTGAACTCCTGACCTCAGGTGATCCACCCGCCTCAGCCTCCCAAAGTGCTAGAATGACAAGCGTGAGCCACCATGCCCAGCCTGCAATAACCTTTTCAAATCGACTCCTTTAAAAACCCTGATTTGGCCGGGCGCAGTGGCTCACGCCTGTAATCCCAGCACTTTGGGAGGCCGAGGTGGGCGGATCGCGAGGTCAGGAGAGCGAGACCATCCTGGCTAACACGGTGAAACCCTGTCTCTACTAAGAATACAAAAAATTAGCCGGGCGTGGTGGCGGGCGCCTGTAGTCCCAGCCACTCGGGAGCTGAGGCAGGAGAATGGCGTGCACCTGGGAAGTGGAGTTTGCAGTGAGCCAAGATCGCGCCACTGCACTCCAGCCTGGGCGACAGAGCAAAACTCCGTCTCAGAAAAAAAAAACCCTGATTTGTTCTTCATCCCTCAAACCCCTGCTGGACACCAGTCAGAAAAGCTCCTCCTGCCCTGAAGAGAAATGCAGACGCCCCACAGAGCCACAGCCCCACCTGGCTTGGCCCCGGCCAATCTCCCTTTTCCAGTCAGGCTGGGCCCCTGGAGTCCCCAAAGCTCTGCCCCGACCCCCTCCCAATCCCGGGGCTTTCCACTGCCTTCCGCTCAGCCTGGACCACTCTCCCTCCAGCCACCCTTCATGGTCAGACACCTGCCCTGACGGTGCCTTCTGCCAGCCCGTCTCCCCCAGAGCACGGTCTGCACCCGCAGTGCTGGTGTTGGCATTCTTGCAGTCACCCATGGGTGAACCCCCACCCCAGGAAGGTTCCTGAAGACAGGTCCTCATCTGCTCTGTCCCCTGCCGGGTCCCCCAGCTCTAGGGTCTGGTCAAACAAAAGCCTTGGTCATTATTTGTGGAAGAGGTGAAAAGAATGAAGCCAGCATCCCATCTCAGCTCGGGGGCCCCAAGTGAGCGGCAACTGGGCCCTTGGGTGGGGCGCAGGTCTGTGGGAAGATGGGAGGGGCTCCCTTCAGCCAGACCACTGCGGGGGCCAATGTCCAGCCCTGTAAACGAAGGTGGACACAGGTAGAGTGAGACCCTGTCTCAAAGGAAAAAAAAAAAGTTTGGGTCGGGCTTTGATTTTGACATTCCCCTACCTGTCAAAATCAAAGCCCAACCCAGACTTTTTTTTTTTTTTTTCTTTGAGACAGGGTCTCACTCTGTCACCCAGGCTGGAGTGCAGTGGTACTATCTCAGTTCACTGCAGCCTCAGCCTCCCGGGGTCAAGTGATCCTCCTGCCTCAGCCTGCTGAGTAGCTGAGACTACAGGTATGCACCACCACACCTAGCTAATTTTTTTTAACTTTTTGTAGAGATGGGGTCTTTCTTGTTTCCTAGGCAGGCTGGTCTCAAACTCCTAGGCTCCAGTGATCCACTGGCCTGGGGTTCCCAAAGTGCTGGGACTACAGGTGTGAGCCACAGCACCCGGCCAATCCAGACTTCTTTTTCTTTTCTTTTTTTTTTTTATTTTTTTTATTGAGATGGAGTCTCGCTCTGTCACCCAGGCTGGAGTGCAATGGTGTGATCTCGGCTCACTGCAACCTCCGCCACCCAGGCTCAAGTGATTCTCCTGCCTCAGCCTCCAGAGAAGCTGGGATTACGGGCGCTTACCACTATGCCTGGCTACTTTTTTAAATTTTTATTTTTAGTAGAGATGGGGTTTCACCATGTTGGCCGGGCTGGTCTTGAACTCCTGGCCTCAAGTGACCTGCCTGCCTCAGCCTCCCCAGGTGTTGGGATTCCAGGCATGAACCACTGTGCCTGGCCAAAGGTTCTCTTTCATGGGGGATGTGAACAAGGCTGGAAAGAATTCAACCTTGTTCTTTGTTCTTGTGTGGGGAGTGGGGTGGGGAGCCTGAGGGACGACGAATCAGCCTCCCTGGGCCAGCACTCTCTCAGGGGTCGGGAGTCACCGGCTGGCCCAGGCCGAGGGGGTCCAGGTTCAGGGCCTGCCG